GTACAGCTCGTTAAGTTTCTGTGTTAATTAGTATGGAAAAGAATCGTCTGAAAGCGAGCCGCCTTTCTCCGAACCTTCGCTTTTTCTCGATCGGATCCGCTACCTGTACGATCGTTCCAGTAGCGTACTTCGAATTCATATTCGCGGTCGTTAAGATTCACTCTCTTAATTAATAGAATGGAACTCGATACGGGTCGAGAGGTGTTCGCTTTCGATCTCGACCGATGTTCACACCTGCCTAGTTCAATTCACGTAAATTATTTATAGAACAGAAAAAGACTATGCGTCTATTCGTCGTTAGACTGTCGACCCTTATTTTAACCCTTTTAGTACCGAACGAAAGTATTGTACCTATGCAAAGAATGACATAGAAATGAGTTTCTCGTCTACAAACAATAGTTGTACATAAGAATAATCATCGTTGGATCATAGTTTTATGTAGATCACTTAGTATGAAATATAAATATTACATTTTCAATAATTTCTAACAAAATAAGTAACAGCCATCAACATGTTGCGATCATGGTTCCAAGAAGCAGAGTATATGCAATAAGGATATGACAAAAAGTTAAACCTAAAAACAATTTTTTTAATTCTTTTGCCATGAAATTAGATCGTTTATAATTTATTAATAAATAAATATATTTATTTTATAAATTTATAAATTTATTTTGAGATAATTCTCTCGCAATGCGAATAGTAAGACGCCCTCAGATAAGCGACGATATATCGTCGTTCGGGTTAAACTAAAAGGGAATATAAATTAATATTCGTTTTCTTCTTGAAAAGTGTTAATGTGTGTTCATATGCCTGTATATTCTTCGTATGAAAGTTTTTGTAAGTACATGAAGTCTCGTCATTGGAAAATTGATGGCAAGATTCATTTTGCGCTTGTAGTCCGATCGAGAAAGCGGAGGGAGAACTTTTTGCGAAGCTCGCCGGTAATTAGAGTAATAATTTCTATTTGCTATTACAAGGAGCATCCTTACACCTGTGCGTTTAAACGGATGATCCCGGTAGAGGAAAAAGCGGCGGCGAAGGAAGTGGTAGAAAAGTGTTGGATAAATGAGCGAAAAAGATGGTTATAAACGGCTCTCGAAGGAAGTGACGTGTTACAGATAGGCTATCCTACGGTTCTACTCCGCGGAGCTGTTTTCAGCGGCCGAGGAAAGGAGCTCTCCCTTCCATCTCCGTGGCCTCTCTTTCGTTCCTTATAAGTTTATGCGTTCTCACGCTCTCCATCCCGATCCCACCTCGCCGTTTTAAACCATACCTTCCTGGCCGCGGCCCCGCAGATCGCCTCTGCCGAGTCCCTCTCCCGCGATTCGAATTAACGATAATCCTTAATCGAGGCTTCGGTCAAAAATCCATTTCTCGTACGATGTACAGCTTAGGACAATAATTCTCGATGTGTCTCTTAGGGAGACAAGGTCTGATAATGGTAATAAATCTATGCCTCATTTTCCCAATGCTCGATCAGGTATTTTGACTACATCGAATAAGTTTATAAATTCTTAAATAAATAGCTTTAATTATTTATATTTTAACGAGTCAGTAGCCATGAAAATCAGAATTTTACTTCAACATTTTTGTAAAAATAAATTAAAAAACTTGGCGAATTTATATTTATGAGAGTTTAAAGCTGAGAGTCGAGGGGGTTAATAACCCTATAAAAGTAATCGGGAATAACTGTTCGAAGGAGCAGGAGGAGGACGTCCACCGATCGCGATCGGACGCTCATTGTATATCAGCCTGCTTCGCGTATCCCGGCTCTTCCTAGTTATAATAAACAGCGTAAAAAAGCCGAGCAAAAACCTGCCCAGCCTTCGGCGAGCGTACCCCGCGGAGCAGCTTCTGCTCTCTATCACCGAGTTCATCCTCCGCAGCGGCCGTTTCTTTCCCTCCTCCCCCGACGCTCACACATCGTTCCCTTTTCTTCTCTTCCTCCGGTCTCGATGGATCACCGTAGGTGCTGCCGTTGTTGTCGTCGTCGTCGTCGTTGTTGTTCCGTTGCTGCCGCGGGCTGCGCGCTTCCTCCTTCTCCTCCTTTGAACCCTAGGCTACTTGTCACTGTTTTTAATCCATCAACCCTTTGTAACGTGTGAATCGAAGCAGGCTCGTAATCGCCCCATTCATATCGTTTTTACCTTTCATACAAGTAATACAACCCATTTGGTCGTCGAGTCCGAAGGAAATAAGAAATATTTAATATGCGTAAAATTAGCTATTTTTCTTATTTTATTATCGAAGTGGATTTTATTATAGTGAAGGTGCTACCGGGTACACCTCTCTTATTTCGCTCACTGTTTTTCGTCTCGTTCTCGCTCTCCGGTATTTCCGTCCCGTTTCTCCTCCCACTTTATTAATATCTACCGGCGGCTGATCGACGGTTACGATTTTCTCGCAACGCCTTCCGGGTTCTCGGTCATTCGAACGGATTATAGAACAGCGGTCGAACGCTGATGAATTCGTGAATGGAACGAGAGAGTCTGACCTCTCCTTCGACACTCGTCCAGCCTTGAAACCCAAAACGATTCCCGATCCACTCAACGTGCACAAGGTCAATTATCCTAGATGGAAAAAATATCTACTCGTTATGCAATATAAATGCTTTGAGTATTTCTCGTCTGCTCGACGTAGATTAATTCGTCACATAAAAAACTATACAACTACTGCTCTTCAATTAGTAAGCAAATAGTAGCAAAGCCAATGAAATTGTATTCCATCAATGAATGAACTTCAGATTATGTATACATGTACACGACATACATATGCAATGTGTCTAATTAATATTTCTAAAAAATATTGATAAGAAACTGGAAAAGGCTAATTCTAAATGCGCGTAACAGTGCAGTAGTTGTTTCCCACGGTCCAGATAACGCAAAACCAGTTCATTCGGTAAAAAAATAAAATAGAACAGACTGGTGTTTTCTCTTAGCAACTGTATCTACGTTCATTCAAAATTTAATTATGCATTTACTCATCGATTCTCAGATGCAACGATCCCAATTGTGAATATGTTCGTTTTGAATGAAGTCCGTACGGTTCATTCAAGAGTACACGTAACACATTCGGTGGTGGCATGCTTGTTTATTTATCGGCCTGCGCAGCTGTTGCCCGTGATTAGAGGCCAGATCCGGAGTTGCCAAAGTCGGCGAACCGTTTCCCAGATAATTTATCGAAACGAATGCCGCGCAACCGGTTGGCAAAGGAGCCTAGCCACGCCAGGACAAGGAGGAGAGTACCACCTCTTCGCGTTTCGCGTGAAATCGCGCAAAATATAAAAAGTTCGCGACGTCTTTAGACGTGCATCAATTTGTAGCATATTCTCGCGTCGCATCGTTGTCACACGCGTATCTGTATATACGTCCTCGTTCATAAATATGCAAACTTGAGAAGAAGCTCTTTCGAAGAATTCTAAGCTTAGAACAGCAATTTCTTTTAATTTTTTATTACACATTATACAGTAAACTGAGCCTCCTAGTCTTCCTGTTCATAATAACACGATAACCAAAGTACGTCTTTAGTCTGAGACTACGTGAATGTAGAATATTTGAATAACAAACTCCATGTTTCACGTGACGATGTTTGTACAGGTTCTGAATTGACGATGACTTATATCGAGCTTTATTATGGTTGCCCGTGAAGCTCCCTTCGAACGGATTCATAAATCATAGCTACATATCTAGCTTAATTCGAACGATTGCGTTTCTAATTACTTTCTAATTATTCCGTGCCACCCCTGATCGCTAGTAATAGTCCACGCTCTACTTGCTCTAAGTAGATGTGCATTCCACACGGCTTTAGTTTCGACCTATCTGATCCTTGTCAACTGATTCGAAAGTAGCTATTTCACGTGTTCTCTCTCTCGTAATGTTCCTCCGTACATTTACAATTTTTTATCCATCTAATTAAATCTGAAATCTGTGCATACTTTCATTGTGCAAAATAAAATTACTTTGATGTAAATTAAAAATAAAATGAAATGTAAATTTATACCTCTTTCGCTGTTCAAATATTATGATATATCTTATGTCTACAATTCTTCTAGTAATGCGCAAAATCCATACTCCGCTAATCTGTTAGTGAAACATGTAGCGTATCAGTAAAAGTTGCGATCGGTATTGGCTGATAATATCGAGTGGCGAGTTTATGAATGGTCTCGCGGTGCCGGAAACGCGTCCCGTAAGAAATTTTTAGCCTTGCCCGCGAGCAAGAAGTTTCACATTAATCACCGCGAGGCAACATCCTCGAGAGCCGTGGGTTGCGCGTTGGCAAAAGGGGAAGGGGCAGACACACGGGCAGAAATTACCAGCGATGTTAAATAGTGTTTGCGTTCTAGCATATACGAGCGTAATTACGTCTCGCCTTCCACCGAATGCTACGCTAGCGTCGATTATTCCGTTGAAAACCGGGCTGCCCGGTGTTACGAGACGACTTCCGTGCCCCGTCGAGCTGCGCGTAGATCTTGAATGAAACCTTTTTCTCTCTCTCAGACAGAAAAGGAAATGGTCATCGTTTTTTTTTTTTCTTCAATAACGACCTCCTTGGGAAAGGATCGGTGATCTAACAATTCTGAAAGAGTGACGTCGCTCTAAAACTGTTTTCGTGTCTTCTATTAATGATTGAAACATGAGAACGTAGGAGGACTATGTTTCATTTGCATAAAAAATAACAACGAATGATTCCGAGTGATACTTTGGAATTCCATTCGCAAGACTGATCGTGACAAAAATGATGTTTGTAGAGAATCGTCTTCGATCTCGGCGACGGACGGTACCGAGGAAAATCTTGGCGCGGGCGAGACCGACGGCCCGTGAATATTTTTTTCGCTACGTCAGCGGCAGCGAGAGGCAGAAGGAAAAACGGTGCACTGGATCGTCGGGGGTGGGAGGGAGTGGGTTCGACTCGAACCGGGCATACTGTACCGTGTCCGAGGCATGAATGAACGAACCGACCGAATGAAGGAACGGGCCTGTCTCCGTCTGCGCGCGTACGTGAGAGATAGGCCTCGTACACGATCCTCGCTCGGCCGTGGAACGACGAAGACGAAGGTACCAGTCGTCGCGTGCGTCGGACGGAAGAAGGAGAGGGACGGACGCGTACCAGTCGTGGAGAGAGAGGAAGATGGAAGAGAGACGAGGAAGAGGTTTACGCGCGAGCAACGGAAAAAGACGGAGCGGCGTAATTGATAAAGACGGAGACGACGGTTGGAAGCAGGAAAGGAGAATCGCGTCGGGTGGGAGAAATCGGTGGTAGGATTCGGCGGAGACGAAGGGAAGAGGATGTCGCGCGCGTTCCCGTCGCGGCAGTGTGAGTTTACCGCGTCGACGGGAGAGTATTCATTCATAAAACTATAAGCGAGGAGCGAGGCTAGGCGAACGAACGTCGGACCGGTGGGGACCCCTGACACCCGAGAGACACGCTCTTCTCTCTTCCGAGCGATCTCATTCTCGTCTGGCGGTCTATCGCCTTTCCTTTGTCCTCTCCGTCAGCGATGTTCTTCTCGCTTTCGCGTCTATCGATCGAAAAGCGTACTAGCGTTGTTCTCCGATTTTTGGAACAGCGTCAACGGAGCTTCCTCTTCCTAGTTGAATCGGTCTGAGTTTTATCGGTAACTTGAAACAGTTTGAATAAGGAAGATTTATTTTTCTCTGATCGACGTTATATCGATGGGTAAATCAGCTTTCTAAAAATTGGGCCTAGAAAATCCTGTTTTACGATTCGCAGTAGATTATCAGCATACGTAAATGATGATTTCTGAGAAGTTTCGTATTGCGAGATTTGTATAGCCGCAGTGTTTGACCCGGTGACACGACGGTGATTCCTACGAATCCGTCCAGCGATTCGAAGGACAAGGAACAGCTCGGTACGGTGTGCGCGTCCACCTCCGCCGCCACGTCCCGCTGCCTCGAATAAACTCTCTCGATCCCCTCCCGACGACTACGTGTTCCCGTCTTCCTCCGTTCTTCGTTCATCCCTCCACAGTCGACCGCGACGAGCGTCCTCCTCCACGTTCTCTTCGTCCAGCTGGCTGGCCTGGCTCGCTCGCTCTTTCCTCTGCCTCCTCTCTCTTCCACGTTTCACCTCTTCTTCTTCTTCTTCTTCTTCTTCTTCTGGTCTCTTCTGCCCCGCGCCTCTCTCCTCGCGTACGCACTTACCTGCGGAACGCGGTCGTACGTGCTCGACGGTGGCGCTTCGGCCTGACGAACCAACGATCCGCTCTTCGGTAACCGAGATCAACCTCGATCCTACGTCCAGATTCAAACTCCATCGTTAATCATCGCCGGTGCCAGTGCCGCGTTCTGTCACGCCCGTTTCGTTGGATCCGGTCGGGTTCGTGTGCCACGTCTGCCTCGAGAACGTCAAAAGACGGAAGAAGAACGCCGCTCGAATGGGATCGGAGATCGCGCCACGAATTGGAAGTTCCTCGCGTATTTTCGGAGCCAGGCCCGTCGTTCCCGGTGTACACGATTTCCGCTCCGGAATACGTGCCCCTACTCTTGGCCGCCAGTACCGTCGTTGCGCAAGCAGATACTCGAAAATAGCCCCCTGGGTCGCGGTTATGAATTGATAGCAAACACATGCTGGACACACGCCGGCTCCATCCAATACGCGTCTAACCGCGCCGCGTTAACCGTGCGCGTTTCGATTTACCCGGGACGATTCTCACCTGTCGCGTCGTCCACCTGTGCGCGCCTCTAGTCGATCGGGACTCTCCTCGTGGTTCCGAACGTGGTGAATGATCGTGCGAAAGTCGATCGGACCTCTGGAGATCATGCGTTTTCAGTGAAACGTGACGATCGGTAACATTAATCGGGGGATTTGTTCAGGTTCGTTAACGTGATCCAGTGACAGAGTGGATAGCAATGGCAGTCGAAATCGTTCGCGAGTGTGTCGCCGATCGTTGGTAAACAAGTCGACGTTCGATACGTTATTATGGGATAGAAGAGGATCGACCGTCGTTTTCTACGTCGAGCCTCGCCTCGATGTCGCGACTGATCAAGATCGGACGGATCGATCTCGACCGATGGGCGAGACCGAATTGGCGCGAGTGAACCGTGCGTCCCATCTCGGCGTGGAGATGGAATAAAAAAAAAAGGAGAAGAAAGGGAAAAGTACAGCAGCGAATGACAGTGATCCGGGAGATTCGTGTATGTACAGTGAGCACGCGAGGACAGCACTCATGTACGTTGACTATAGCGGCGACGCTTATGCCGGAATGGGAATCAAGGCCATGAAGTCCTTCGCCAGGCCCAGAGGTATGGTACCGAACGGGCGAATGCGAGCCCGCCGTCCCCTTTTTTCTTCATAGTTCCCGCGTTTACAGCTCGGATGCTTGCGGTCGATCCTTTCCTTTGACGTTGCGCGTATCGCGTTCCGCTCCGCGGATCTTCCGATTCGTGTGGCACTCGGGGATAAAGAGAGATTTTTCATAGAAACGTTAATGAGATCAATAGCGGTGGAAGATAGGTTGTTAGACGTTGTACGTGACTCAGGATGGATCGTGACAGATGTCGGGGACCGAGCAGGCGTGTAACCTGCATCCCGGGCGCATATGCGCTTCCTGCAGTTGGACGGACTCCCTTTCGACAGGGAAGGGAGCTCCGTGCCAGAAATGGTCGACCTTTGACCCTGACACGCTTCCTCTTGCTCTCGGAGCACGAGCCGTTTCCCATTGTCGATTGGAAACGATCACTTCCGCCTCTGCGTTCAAATCTCTCGTTCCATTCCGACTTTCCTACTCTTTCATCGATTTTCGATCTCAACGGGGTAGATTATGAAAACGCGATGAGGATATCGATGTTATCCGCTAAATTAATTAAAAATAAGGGACACGTCCCAATTTCTATCCACCGGTTTTTTAGTAATTTAATAACAACATCGGTTTAAATAAAACCTGCTTTGAACCGAACAGTAGCGCATAACACTTTGTTAAAAACTAAAAACATTGACAAATCGTAAAAATTAATCATAATAATTAAAACAATAATTGGAATTTATGTGTATAACAGCGACGCGATATCCGACGACAAGCTGCCACATTTAGACTCAAACTTTCCAAACGTCCCTCGATACTGACAATTTTATTATCTAGACTGCAAAGTAGTTTCAAATATCGTTTTATCTCATGTTTATTAGCTGAGCATTTATCGTCATTGCATTCCGAGGTGCAGTATCGACGCGCTTGCTGTTCTTTCGTGTTCCTCTGAATTGGCGGTCTGGTAAAACACGCGGGTAAATGGGAAATCTCGCGGATGAATTACAACACGAGTCGGTGGCCCGCGAAACGGCCACGGTTGTTTCTTTCTACGCGCAAGTAGGGGATATCTCGAGCGAAGAAGAAGAAGAAGCTATGCCATGCCACCGCTTCCTGGCAACCGGTTCCTGCGAATGGCTTGATCCGTTTTGTTCATGTAGATATCACCGCGGCACGAAGACTGATTCGAGTGGAACTCGCCTCTCCTTTCCATTAATCCTCGGAAACGGAATCGAATCGAATATCTTCTCCCTTTATCTTGAAATCTTTCGCTCGCTGCCGCTATGCAAATGTTGGACCGATACTAGGGAGAATGATTTATAACGCGTCGTTTCGACAAGATTAATGCATCAACAGTTGTCTTAGACATTTTAATTTAACGGTACGCGAAACATTCTAATTGCGGTTTCGACTATGGCAATTTGCATCTAGGGTAAATGCCCGAACGTAAACGTCTGCGAACGTTGCCAGATAAGTATAAAAAGAAAGATTGCTTGAAAAAATATGCAATAACAGCCGTCCACCTGGTCGATGGATGCAATGAAACGAGAAAAAGTAATGATCTGTGTCCATAGCGATTTTCCAAACAAGACGTTCTAATTTATTTCACTGTCCATTGTCAAACAGAACGAAGTCCATAAATTGATTTCATTGTAGCTTCATTAATGAAAATGAATCTGACTTGAACGTTTTAAATATGGATATTTAGAATCGTATCTGGAACGTACCTGCGTATATCATGGAACAATACGTCGTTCAGTCGGTCTTCTATTAATAAATGCCGAGTCGATTGCGTCGAATGTGGGTCAATAAAATCGATCATGGACCAATTCTGGACCGATGAGTTCGTCATCGTTATGATCAAAATTATTGGTTTCATACAAGATTGAAACTTGGTTTGCCAAAACGAAAAACCAGATCCGACGCATTCCTATCAGCTGGTGTTCCTCGGAAAGAAAAACAAGGCTGGAAGCAATTAAGTCCGCGGTCCTACCTTCATCTTACTTCTTCATATCGAGCCCCTGTTAATTAGCAAGCGGCTTTAATATAGGAGTTCGCCATGTTCCCCGTGGAAAAACTGCAGTAACGAAGCTCTCCGCGGTCACTGAAACGATAACCGATTCACCGTAATCTACAGTTTTATCTGGTGGTGCAGCAACAACAGAAAAAAGGAGCAGCTGGCTAATCAGCGGGTGGCTACGATAATTGAGCCGCAATCTTGGCCGTCTCCCGGGGCTCCTTTCGGCAGCGGCTCGTACGAGAGCGCATGCTTCTCATGGATTCCGTGATTCGGTGGGTTTTCGTGCTGCGGAGAACGGTCCAGGAAGTCGGGCCGGGCATGCGTCGACGTTATCACCGGGACGCACGCTGCGGAGGCCATCGTATCTCGGTGAAACACGCGGTTTCTTGATAATCGCCGTCCCTAACAATGCCGCAACTACTTGTTGCTACCCCCTCTAGAAATATCTCCAGTCCGAAGATGATAGTCATTCGCTGCGTACATGCACAGACGCTACCTGTGTTTCTTACTGAGAAAAGGACTACACTTTTAAATATGAGTTTCAATAGCTTAAACCTGGCCTTTATCGCTTAGGAAATGTTCTCAAACTACTCTCTTAGACTTATCGATCTTAAAGTAGAGATCTGGAACAAATCTGCCATAGATCATAGATATTACTTTACTACCGTTTAACTTCGTCTTGGAAAATCCTAAGGGAATCCCTAATCCCATCAGTTGTTCCTTTTTACAATGATATTCCATTAACGGGCCTTACCAGTGTGACCGCCATAAATTTAGGTCATTTTTGTACATTTTTTTAAGAAAAGTATTCTATGGAATATTTTTAAACTTTATGGATTTTTTTATTTTTCCTTAAAAAATTTGTCGTTTTTTGTTGCTAAAATTATAGTTTTCATCCAATCAAGAATATTCTATGTCATTCAACAATAAAACATGTCTGGAACACTCTGTTAAAATTTTAAATCAATTGGATAATTGGTTTTTGAGTTAAAGTGTCAGTAAATTTGGAAAATACCATTTCGAGAAAAACGCGTGTAAAGTATTAACTATTACATTATTACTTATATTGCATCAATACTGTTAGAAAGCTGCCACTCGAAAACTAGTCTAGATCCGACCTTGGAATTTTAGTATGATATTTTTAATGGTATAAACTTTCGAAAAAATGCAAAGGAAAATTCGATTTTTTTTAAGTTTCACACTGGTAAGGCCCCTTAAGTAGAGTATTCTGAAAACACTGAATCTGCCATTTAAGTCTGCATCGCCTATAAAATGTTCGCCGACTGCTTTCTCAGATTTATCGATCGTAAACTACAGATCTGGTGTCTGTTACGAATTCTCCCATGGATCGTAGATCGTCCCGCAGTCGTGTAACTCCGCCCTCGGGGATCATAGTGATTTTCCTCATTTCCGGCAGCGGTCGCGTTCATTTAACTGATTTAACGTCCCGCGACACCGATCATTACGCGTTAATCATTATGTTAATAATAACACGCCGATCGGGACTCGTACTTTCCCCGATTAAGACGTTAATTATGAACCGTAACACGCTCGCCGTCCGTTCTTATCGCGTCGAGACACGCGGTTTCGCGATAATCAACAACGTCGCCACCGCTCGTTAACATGCCTGTTGATTATCAAGTCGCCATTCGTACTCACTAACTGCTGCTCCTTACCCGCAGTTATTTTATCCGCGACATCACCCGCAGGATCATCTTTAACCCTGATTTAGTTTTCTCAGGCCACATACACGGCAGAATGCCACCCCCTTTCACGGTGCTTAATTATTTTAATAAAATATTACATCAATAATCGCTTCAATCATTGCATGAAAATATTTCTAATCGGGCTTCAAGCTATTATCTTAATCAGCGTAAAAATGTTGGTAAATGAAAATCATTTCGAACGATCTTTTGAAATCTTTCTCCGAATCTGGTGGTTCACCAGGCGGGAGGCGTAGCCATAAACCGTCAAAATGACGACGTACCGAGCGCAAACAAACCGTTGTCGTCGAGATAGATAAGCTTTATCTCGCTACTACCGGATAGTCCTGGTCAGCCCTTTCGGGAAAAACCGCAGGCTTCATGGTTTATACGCGTCCTTGGCTCTTAACGAGACAGGATGTGCTCGGGCAAGTCACCAACCGAATCGGGAATGTACGCGATAAACTTCCCACCCATGATGAAACTTTATACATGCATGTAACTCGGATCTAAAAACGGGATGTTACACATTTTTATTAAACACCAGGAATAATTAAAAATCATATTTTTTGTTAGAAATTATATAGTAAGCCTTCTGATATTCTGCAGATAATTGAGTTGCTCTACCCAATATGAAAATAGTTATTCCGTTTTTAAATGTACATAGTACACGTATTACACCAGAGTTACGTTGGAATCTTCTCTATCTAAAAATGTCTAATAATATCTGACGAATTATGGGAGAAACTTTGGGTCTATTTTAGACGATAGCGAAACGTTCCTCGAATCTCTGGAGATTTGCGGCTGTTCGACGGGAGACACTCGGTACAAATGTATTTTTATCGCGGCAACCCTCGCCCGTCTCGAATTCATCGCCTCTTCAGGGGTAAACGGTTAGGGTGGGTTCCCCTCGTTGGACGCGTTCCAGGTTTCCGCGAGCAACAGGTGTACAAGGGTCACGTGCTGCAAGTACCCACCGAATAAACCATCCACCGTGTATGCTTCGTCAAAATAATCGATCCGATCCGTTGCCTCTTGGCATCATCTATTGAAAGCTATATTATTCGTCTCTCCTATTTTGTATCGACTTCTGTTTCACGAATCCTTTGAAGAATGTCAATTATTGCAGTACCATTTTTTGCTCGAGTTATCGATCGATCTAGAGAAAAATGGTACTGTCCAACTTTCCAAGCGTGAAAAAATTACGGTTATGACACACGTCTTAATTAATAAGGGTTGAGGGAAGTGTCAATTAGAGGCACGAACATTTCCAACACG